TTGGTGACGGTGATGTCAAGAAATCCTCGGAACATCCATTGATTTTCTTTCCCCCTCTGCATAGGCATTCTGGTAAAGAGCCATGAACATGTTTGGAGAACAGTGGAAAAAACAGACCATAGCATAAACTTCCAGAAGTGCAGTGGGGTCTTTCCACAAGGGAAACTACTCTTTCTAGGGATTCTGGGTCTGACTAGCAAGATTGGCTCCTGTTACAGTAGATTCAAGGGCCGTGCTTCTCTTGAATACATCATTCAGGTTGCTCCCTTGACCTAGAAATCCTCTGCATGTGCAGCTCAAGTTAGGACTCCTAGAATACATACTTAGCTGACTTTTCAGAAGAACGTGATCAACTAGCTAGTGCCATAGGTCTCTGCAAATGCTACAATTCTGATTTGCTCTTTGAGTATGTTGTCCATTATTGTAAGATGCCACCCTTTCAAGTACTGCACTCTGGCTGCTCTCATCCCAGAATTGAATTATTTCCCTTGTCTGCAAGGATCCCCACACTGTGACAGCAGTTTCTGCTAAAACTTCTGACCTCCGAGGTCCTCAAAAACAGTGGAAATTCTGTCCAAAACATGTGTCACGGTATTATGGTGCTAGATGCCTTTTCAGCCCATGAACCTGATGGATTGGTACAGGACTTTCATGACAACTGTATCTAACCGCCTCGGTCTCTTTGAGCCTTTGGACATACTTCTGGCCAACAGACCCAAGCAGCCCAGGAAGTTCCCATTCAGTTAGGTTGTGAACGTTCCTGTTGTTTCCTAACTTTTGCCTATCGTTCCACAATTAAAGCCAAGTTTTACCTGAGCCACAGCCTCAGTGTAGATTCTGTGCTTAAGGGCCCTTATCAATCGTGTCAGTGTAAACTGATTTTAATTTCCTTCCACCGTGATCTCAGCCCCTTTCACACACATTCCCTCAGGTATCCCACTAAGCCGTTTCCGTAAATCAGAAACACGAAGCAGTTGTTCGGACTCCAATGCAGTTCTTCCTTCATCGCATTTTGTACCTCATTTCTGAAGGCCTGCTGGTGGTGTGGAGTTAAGCATACATATAGGTCTAGAAGCACAGAAAGATGATAGTGCTGTGTGCTAAGGAGGATCTGCAGGATTTTGTAGTGTGACTCCCTTAGGGGATGCGGGGATGCGCTGCAGGTCCTTCAGAGTGTTATAACAAGTGTTACAGCCCATAAAAAAGGTGTTCACAGCTCCTAAAAGGTGTTACAGCTCCTAATAATACAGCTGCGTCAGACTGAGACAATCAAGCCTACCTTCCTACGGGCACCAGTTTTGGAGGCAGGTATACAGTTTTACTGATGTCTTGGCTGACATCCTTCACCAAACAGTCAGGCAACTCTCAGGGAGCACGATTTTTATAGGACTTACAACCCAGTAGGAGGTACAAGAACAGAGTGTTTGCCATTAGTTGACTGGAGAGAAGATTACACTGAATTTCACCTCCCTGCATACAGCAGAGACAGGGATAAAACTTTACATTATTTTGAGGAAAAACAGTTTCAACAGAGGAAAAGGCCAAGAAAACACATTCTGAATGGCAGGGGGAGTCCCTTCAGGGACCAAGTGTTGCTTTGTTTTTGTTTTTGAATTTTTTTCTGGCTTTGAGGGGAGCCATCCTGCGCCATGCAGTGACACCTTCCTTGAGATGTCCCAGCCTGGGCTCTGCTCCATATGCAGCCACACGTCTTTTTCCAGGACATTGACTAGGTGAGGCTTGAGAGACTGCTTGTCTCTCAATTCTCGGAATCAAAGAGAAGATCCTCAATGCAGAGCGCACTGACTGTATTCCCCACCAATGGAAAAGCTGGGTGTTGTGGGCTGCTGTGAGCACTGCTGGGCTGAGGTCTTGGCTAGGAAGACCTGTCTGCTCCCCTGCATTTCTGGTTCCTGCTCCACCACACTCCATTGCCAGGCCTTTTGTGGAAATTCCACTCCTGAGTACAAGTGCCAGAAAACTTTTCATGATAAAAGGGAAGTCACAAAATGCTGCTGGAAGTGGAATGTCCAAATATAAACGAACCCCCAGACAACTGTGCTGTCCCTTACATCATATAAACACACAACAAGAAGATTCCATCCATCAGCTAGAAATGGGCCCTCTCCATGCATGGAACTTGCTGGAAACTTGATCTTGGGATTCCCACCCTCTTGCTTTGTGAGAAATAGGCCTGCATAATTTTCCAGCCACATCTTCTGGGATGTTTTATTACAGCATCTCCAGTGGACTACAGCACTCAAGAGAAGTGGCTGCTGAAATGCGGGAGTGGAATAGGACCTGGGCAATAGGAAGACAATGGTGGATTTTCAAGGTACCTGCTGGGAGAAGCAGCTCTGCAAAGGAAGATGGGAGCTGCAGTGAAGCCCCCATCTTCGTAGAGAACATGAAAGTGATTGTGAATACAATATTGATAGAAATGTGCACGTAAAGCCCACACTATGGGGTTTCCAGTGGAAATGAGGAAAGCATCTGAAAGGTGCTCCTTGTTAGAAACCAGCAAATAACTTGGCTGAAGCTATTCATTTCTCAGCATATTATGGGAGGTAAAAATGTCTTGTGATGAATGATTTGGCAGAATAAATTGCTAAAGAAATTCTTGAATAACATTTCGTTCTATTCAAAGCTTACAGTAGAATGAATGAGAGTCAAACAATTAGAGGTAAAAGTTTTAATCTAAAAGGCAGCAGAAGTGCACCACTTGGAAATTTCCCATCCTTCTGTCATATCAAATGCAAGAAAGTGTGTGCGAGAAGCAGTGTCAAGAGTGGGGTCCAAATACAGCTTGATAGGGAAATGAGGATGGATGCACCAGGGATTATTGACCAGGATTATAGAAGGTTGGCCCTGCAGGAATTGTGAAAATCACTGGGTCTGCCTGGACCATCAAGGGCTAAGCATTCTCGAAGCTGGGAATCATAATGTTTCCATGTGTGGATCACAGGTCCCTGTGGTACCTTAGCACATACTGTCTTGTGCTTCGCAGCTCAGCCGCCTTGATTCTGGAGGCCTAATTGTTTAACTACCTGAAATATGGCTACAATTGGCCAAGGTGTGGCATGGGCCACACAAGCTACTTTCTTAGGAGAAGAAGTGGCTGATGTAAGGGGTGTCCATGTGACCCAGCTCTGCTGGAGGACAGACTTCCTGGGCTGTGGGTGTTTGTTGTCTCTACTACCTACAGACCAGATGGCCCCACACAGCGCTTCTGGCCCAGGATCTAGGCAGGCAGGACTATTTGAGACAACAATGCCCAAGGAATCGATGCAGGTGGTGAAATCGCAAGACACCAGTTGAGGAGAGCATTAGCATGGGCTCTCCTGAGAAAACCCCTTAGGGTACTAGAGTGGGGGTGGGGGATTGCCCAAGTGAGTCTTCATTGTGGGTTTGCCCTCAAACATCTTTCTTGAAAATTAAAGTGTAATGCTGTATGTTCTGTTGGTTCTTTACAATCATTCTGGTTTGTAATATCTTTCTTACTTCCCATGTCTTTCTTCTGGATTGGGCATTTCTATCCAAAGACGCTTTCAATATTGTGCTTTAAAAGCATATAACGTGTTTGACTTCACATCTGTACACCATGATTTGAATCAGGATGACTTGTACTTCGAACATCACCCTTATCAGGATTCTGTGATATTCATGTTGCAACGTCATCACCAGTGTCATGATCATAAGATGGTTGGGCTACCATAGGGTGATTAGGCTAGGAGGACACACTCTTCATGAATAAGGGCTGTGTAGTTACAGAAGTGGATTTAGAGTGGCCTGAGCCTTTTGTACAGGCAGACTTTACCATCTGTCAATCAGAAAATACATTTAACCAGACAGTGTACATACTGTTTTCTTGAGCTTGGACTTCTGAGACCAAAGAAATGTTACAAATAAAAGCTCTCCTGTTTGTGAAATATCTAGTCTACTACATTTTGTTATTATTTCCCTTGGGATACACTGAGACACAGACAGTATGATTTGGTGTAGACTAACCTGGACACAACCCTCTCCTGCACTGGCCTGCCAAGCTGTGCTGTGACAGGTGATCTCAGTGCTAACATTAAGGCTTTCAGCATTTCTCACCACACACTGCAGCTGCCCCTTCCTATACCAGGTCCTGCCACATGACACATGCCTATGTGTTGAGGATAATTAGCAGTCATCAGGAAATTACCATCCCAATCATGCCGCTCCTGTCAGAAGTTGACATCTCTTGGTCCATTCAAGGTTTTTTACCCACACAAGTCCCCAGTTCCCCTAAGCCCCCTCAGGAGCTGCCACAGCAAAGCACAGGGCCTATGCATTTAAAATGTTTGTTTGTCCAGCATTGTCTGCTCTATAGAAGACCTCCCCACAGTATGTGGTTGATGTGAATTACCTATGTGACTGCAGTTCTGTCCAGCACCAGATTTCTCTCTTTGATTGTGGGACTGCTTCAGAATAAGTGATCACAATAATTACAATACACAACTCTACACTGTTGTGGCATCACTCCATGATGGGTAATGTCAATGGTTGATCACCTGTTTTAGCAGCAAAGAAGACATGGACACAAAGAAGACACGGAGTCACAGATTCCCAGGATTCATCCCTAAGATAATACCCAGAGATATGGACATGGGGCATGTGGAAGCCAACAAATGTGTATGAGGCTACACAGAAAGATGAGGGATGTATCTGCCACATTGCTCACCTGATAGTGACCCTGTCCAACATAGAATATTTTCAGGAAAAGGTAGGTGAGGACATGAATTGCAATACCCTGCTCATATAACCAAGTTTCACCTGAATGGTGCCCTGGTCTCACTGAACTTTACTAACCCAAATTTGCCTTCAGGACATTGCATTGACTGTTTCATCAGAAGGTCCACTGGGCAGCAGTGTGTCTAGGAAGCAGTGCCCTTGCAGGAGAAGTGGAGTAGTGGTCTAGAGTCATAAAGACAGACTGTGGTGGTATGGTGGGGAGAATCAGCAGGGCAGTCAGATTAGCTCACAGGCATGAAAGTGAGGAGGGGTGCAGAGGTGGGTATCATAATATACCGGTAGGCGAACTTCACATCCTCTTGGTATGCTGTCTCCACACAGAAGGACTTCAGCCCCTAGGATAGAAGTGGGACTTGTCTCTGTGTTCCTGAGCAGCCCCAGGGTCCTGAATGGTTTGCTCCAGCTCCTAGTGCAGCCTCCAGACTTCTGGAAGGAGGAACTGTGCTCCCATGCAGGGCCACGTTATGCCAGTCCCCAACACCAGCCATGCACCAGCCTAATCTGCAGGGTCACATCTTGTCTAGGTCACACCTCCTCTTCCACAGCACAAACCATCTACCACACAAACTCTGCTTCACTATACATTACCCACCGAGAAAAACCCTTTCCCTAAACTGTGAGAGCCTCTACCACAGAATCCACATCATATATCTTCTAAGGCCCCCTCCTTCCCACAGGCCCCACACACACCACTCACATGATGGAGAAACAGCAGCATCTCCACTTCTGCTATGTGCCATCCAACACACTGGCGAACCCCAAATCCAAAGGTCAGGTGCTTGTAGGTCCCCCTCCTCTCCAGCCAGCACTGTGGGTTATATTGCTGTGGACTCAGGAATACCTCAGGGTCTCGGCCCATGGAGTACAGAGAAAAATGCACCAAAGTCTACAAATAGATGCAAGTGGAGGTGTGAGATGGACAGATGGAAACTTCCAGTAGGGATCATAGAGACTCACTCACCCCTGCTGGGATGTGGTAGTTCTGAAGCACCAAGGGTGAGGTGAGGGTTCTGTTCAGAGACGAAGCAACAGAGTACAGCCTGGGAAAGGGAGTTCAATAGAAATGCTTCAGTTGTGACAGGTCTCAGCATCAGCCTTGTGACCTGGATCCCCAAAAGGATAAGGCAGTTTTCATCCTGAGGGTGGCTGTCCTTCACCTGCACAGCTCACCTAGACACCGCCAACATGGGCTGCTCAGGTTAAAGAGAACATGGAAGTATGCACAGAATGTTGAAGTGGGATCCCAGAGAAAAAGCCACACTCATAAACACAGCATTCCCTGGAGAAGTTGCTCAATAGCTACTGCTCTGTCCTCAAGCCCTTGAGCAGAGACTCAGGACATATGCAAGTGTTCAGTTGGGCCCTACCTCAGGGTCTCCTTGATGGCTGTCCACAGAAGGGGGAGTTCCATTCTGAGTCTCTGGGGATTCTCATAAATACTGGATTCAGTAGCCATGCTCTCCTGTCGCATGGCCTGCTGCATGGTAGGATTCCTGGCCAACTCAAAGAGTGTCATCATCAATGGTAAGGCTGTCTGCAGGAGCCAGAGGGTAAGTATTGGAGTGCACATTGCCGAGCCCTCTATCCAGGGTTGCTCTCCCATACGCACACCCAATACAGAACAGGCTCAGCATCCTGGACTTCAGGACTGCACTGACAACATAGACATGTACACAAGTCCTGATGGAAAGGCCCCCATCCCATATCACTTCAGTGTCTACACGCTTCTTGTAGGCACAGAGAGTGACCCGTAACATCATTAAGAAGTGCTCTGGAGATCACATCCATCAGCTTCTTTTTTTTTTTTTTTTTAATTTTATTTAAGGAGAAAAGAAAAAAAAAGCAGGGAAAGGGTACAAGTTATACAGATTTACAGAAAAAAAATGAACAGTAGGAAATCACTAGTTAATGGATTACATATTGTCATCTTAGAAATAATTGTTCAAGTCACAAAATTAAAGCTTGTAAAGTGGACATTCCATCAATGATACTGCAAACAGTTCTGTTCATTGATCCAATAAAACTCTGTGATATCATTTTCTATCTTATACACTTAAATATACATGCAGTTATATAGTTTAGAGCACTTTCTTTTCCTCTCTTTTGTACCATGACTATTACACATTTTGGGTTTCATTGCTCCCACGGTTCTTATTACTTTTTTGGAAGAGAGTAAAACCAAATGTGACATAACAGAACAGAATCGGTCAAGTCAAAAGGGTGGACATAATAGATAATGTAAAAACATAATACAGGTGATCAACAATGGTTACCATAATGTCTCCCGCTATCTCTAATAGAATTGCCTATATCATTAGTTATAATACAATTGAACAAAACAGTAAAGAATAAAACCGACAAAACCAAAACATTGGAGACATTGTAGGTCTTCAAAAGTAGCTAAAAGTCAACAAGAATGGGCGTCATAATGAATCTCATTATCTTCACAGCTGATGCCTAAACTTTCGAACCTGATACTATCCAGCAAAACAGAATAGGGGAACATCAGTTAAAAACCAGATGGTGAGAGTAATACAGGGCTTTAAATCAAGGTAATGAAAAGTCAAAATGGGTTACTATAATATATCCTGCTATTTTTTTCCTTTAATTAAAAGGATAAAGATAAAAAAGTAAATAATGGAGTGGAGATTGAGATAAAAGAGGGCATAACAACGAAACAGCGCAGATCAAAACATAACCATTTAAGCAGAATAGTGTTTCACCACCAGATAATCCTAACCTAAAAGTAGTTACCATATTGTTTCTTTCTTTGAAATCCTTGAGTACAACTTTGTATACTGTAGCATTAAGTATATCAAAACAATGTAAAACCATTCAAGAGAATGACAGCATTACAGAGTATTTAGAATCGACTAACAGAAAATGAACAATGGTTTCTGTATAATCTCCTTGTCTTTAAAAGGTTTTTGCTTATACTATCGTACATAATAAAATCCAATAAGATACAGCCTATTTAGACCATTGGAGACAGAAGGACAAAAGCTAGATGAGACTTCAAAACAAGATGATACTAAATCAGTATTACCTATTAAGATGTCATTTTCTCCAAAATAGCTGTTCCTATCATCCAATCTTCTCTGCCTCATTTCTGTTAAGCTCTTTTTCTGTCAGTAGCTGTCAGTTTGTCTTCTTCATTTTGTTCTCTGCTCCATTTGTTGTGGCCTCCCCGCCACTATTTCTGGGTTCTTTGTATTTTTCTTTTTTTAGAATATCCTGCAATACTTTCTGTAGAGTTGAATTGGTGGTTGCAAATTCCCCCAGTTCCTCTTTATCCTGGAAGCACCTTGTTTTTCCATCAATTTCCAGGGACAGTTGTGCAGGATATCTCAATCTCGGCTGGAGATTATTATCTTTCAATGCTTGAATTATTTCCCCCCACGCTCTTCGTGATTTGATGGTTTGTGCAGAGAAATCTGCTGTAATTCTGATGGGTGTTCCCTTGTAAGTGGTCTGTTTCTTGTCTCTTACAGCTTTTAATATTCTGTTCTTGTATTGAATTTCTGGAATTTTTATTATTATATGCCTGGGTGTTGCTCTGTTTGGGTTGTAGGTAGCTGGGGTCCTGTATGCCTCATACATCTGAGTATCTTTACCTTTTGCTAAATTAGGAAAATTCTCCTGGATTATTTCTATGAGTAGCTTTTGTAGTTCACTTGTTTGCATCCCTACTTCTTCTTTTATGTTCTTAATCCTTAAGTTATGGATCCTCTTATCATCTTCTTGTCTTTGTATTATTGCTGTTTGTTTCTTTGTTATTTTTAAGAAGTTTTTCATTTCATTCTCCCATATTACAAGTCTGCCCTCCAGTTCAGATAGTCTGTCCTTAGTTTCTTTCAAGCTGTTATGCCAGTCTTCGATAGACTTCTTAGTATCTTGGTAGTCCCTTTGAACCTGCTTCACTTATTCTATGCTTTCTCTGTTTTCTCCATCAAACAATTCTCCCCTTTTTTTCTGTTCTTCCATTCCACCACCTGTTTTTTCTTGGGTGGTGCTTAGCATTTCTCTAACTATTCTGCATACTTCTAGCTTCAGGTCGTTGATAACTTCATTCCTGAATTGGTCTATGAGGCTCTCTATATGGTGCCTTATGTGTATTGGTGCGGTGTCTGCTATTGCCTGTTTCTCAGAATTGGGGGCCGAGGAGCCTTTCTTGTTGCTGCCTCTTCCCATGCTGCCTCTTCTTCTCTGTTCCTTATATATGCAAGCTTATATAAGAGGCCCAGCTTCTCTCCCAGTCAGCCACAGCCTGATCGAATTGCGCCAGTTAGGTGTTCCCGCTCACCGCTGCGCACCAGGGAGTTACGGACCAGGCAGCCTACTCGTCTCCCCTCCCGGCCACCGTCAGGCTCTGGGATCTGGGTTGGGACAGTCTACCAGGTCCACCGGCAGCGTCACGCAGGCCAGGCACTTTTCACCAATCCCGCCCGAGAGGGGGATGTGTGGCTGGAGTCGCCACCGCGCCCTGCTCCCGCAGGACTGCTCGGGCCCAGAAAGTCCTCCGCTGGAGTCAAACTGTGGTAGAGTGTCAGTTTCTCTCACTCACCTCACCATAAGTCAGTGCACACCTCCCTGCCGTTCGCAGATTGCCGTTCTCAGAGCTTCTGCACGTCTCTCCCCTTGCCGAGCCGCTGTAGAGGCAGCCAGCCGCTGCGCGGTGGGAAACCCAAATCGCGGCTTACAATGGCACGGTTCCAGCCTCCACACCGAGTCTTTTCTGTTCCTGTTTTAGCACCAGGACTGCATTCCAAGTTGGCTTCTCTCAGCCCAGTTCGTTCCTGAGTCAGCAGAGCATATCTCCACCTGCTTATGTCTCCTTAGTCCGCACCATTCCTGGCTTCTGAGCCGAGTCTTTCAGAGAGCCGCCGGTAGTTGCTGTTATCTGTCCGCCATGTTCTCCCGGAAGAGTCAAATGGCAACTTAATTGTGTGTACTGAGCAATTGGCTAGATCTTACATCTTTGACATCCTCCATAATATATTAAAAGATCTGAAATACAGTGTTTCTTAGTGCTGGTCTTCCTCTTTTCTACGTTAGAGATAGACAAGCCCAGTGTGGGCGCGTCTGGAGACCTAAGACCCTGAGGCACCCGCGGTAACAGTAACAGGTGACCTGACCCCACCGAGGGAAAAGCCATGAGGACCTCGGGGTCTGGAGCTGGGCGGGAGGCTGCAGCTTCCAGAGCTCGTTCTGCCGCCTCCTCTCAGACCTCAGCCCGACCCCATCCCTTCCCCGGCTCCCGTCCCACAGCATCACCACTGTGTGTCTTTCCGGTCTGCAAGAGTCCTTCCATGAGGCCTGTAGGCCGTAGAAGTCTCAGTAAGCAGTCTAGCCGGGACAGAAATTCTCAGCACTACGTTGTGGTCAGGGCAGCCATGACACCGGAAGTCCATCCATCAGCTTCTAACAGCTTTTCTGCCCTGGCGGTGCACAGCCCTAACTGTCCTAACAGAACATGATTCTCCGGGACTTCATGTGCACTCAGAGTCATCTTTGATGATCTGAAAAACACCTCCCTTTGCCGTTCTGAGTACTGTGTTTCACTGCCTCCAAAAAGGATCATTATGTGACCTGACACACAGAAATGGCCTTGCAAAGGCCTCCCTGACACTGCTGGACTACCCTGAAAGCTATCCTCTCTGTCCTACAGGGTCAGGACCCACTCTGACCTCATGCTTCCATGGTGGGCTTTCTCCAGTCTTAACATAAGGGATTTGTGCTTAGGCCATTTCTGATAGGAGCCCTTTCCCTCTCTGCCCCATCTGCCTCCATCTTTACCTGCCTCAACCATCCTGAAGCCTTGCCAGGTCCTGTGGATTTTGTGCCCAGGGCTTTTTCCCCCATTCCTCGCCTGTCCTGGCCTGTGTTCTTTGCTTCATTACTGCACATTTGGCCCAGGGTCTCTCTGTTCCCTTACGAGTTCCCCCTGGCACTTGTCTTGGTGGATGCATCCTCCCTTGTTCCCTGTGTGTCCCAGGCTGGCTTGACTCTCTGCTCTGAATGTACAGGCCTATCTCTGAGTAAGAACTTAGCAGATGCCATGGAAACAAGGTTTCATCTGTGACAGGAAAGATTCTGCCAGAGACCCAGCCCCCTCCTGCCTGTGTTGCCACCAGCTTCCTCCTCTCCCAGCAGCACCCCTGAACCTCTTACCCTCCTCTGCTCTGTCCACCAAGCATCTTTGCTTAATACCTATGCTGCTTGTCAGGCTTTGTTGTGAGAGCCCACATGTGCCACTCAGCCTTTCTCCATCCTCCCAGGTTCCCTATGTGCACAAGTGGGAAAGACTACTTGAAGGAAGTTCGTCTTCACTCTGCCTGAGCCTCCACATGTCTCCCCACACCTGTGGCTGACAAATTTGTGAGGCTCCATGTGAGCTCCACCGTTCTGCTCCCACCTCAAACTTTCCATCATTTCAGAACTGAATATACGAAGAATGCAGCAACAATGCCTCCATGGGCCTGTTGGCAACTCTGCAAAAAGAGAGTGCAAGGAGTCCAGGTGAGCTTAATGGCCCCTGGTAGGTTAGCTAGTGGCCTGACCGTGTCCACACTCCCTGCGATGAGGTCCAGAGTGTTGGCTTTCATGGCACATAGTGGTAAATTTCCCTGAAGCAGCAGATTTGCCACAATGCTGTTGTACTGAGAGCAACCTCGAGCAAGCTCCTCATATCTCTTCTGGATGTGATCTTCAGCTTCAGAAGAAAACAGAGCACTTAGCACCCCAGAGTGGGTGCCGAGATTCCTTGTTGTCGGCCACATCTCTGTACTCCTTTTGTTACCTCTATCTTAGGCCAGCCCCAGTCTCATCCCAACATGCTGGCAACACTATAGGTTGCTATTACCCTGCTGTTTTTGCCTCCTAGTGATCCTGTAAGAGGGGTGATTGTTGCCTGGGAAAGTAGATGACTCTATTGTCACTGGGCCTTACCATACTCAGAGATGTAGTCCCAGGCTTCAAAGTTCTCCTTCCACACTTGCCTTCTTATCCATTGGGACAGACTTCTCGGCAGGAACATCAACTGTGCTGTGGTTTTGAATATGGCATTCATGGCCTGGGTAAATTTCAGGCTATGAGAGCTGGAGTTATGTCCAACGAGGTCCAGTCTTTCTCCAAATAGTGAAAAATTGCTGACTGCAGAGAGAATGCCATTACTGATTAAAGACGGTGCTGGCCTTGAGTCACCACCCCAGGCCTACATCACCACTGCTGGCTGACTCCCCATGCCCTGGGATATGGACAAATCTTTTTTATTTTTTTTTTAATTTTTTTTTGTCTTTTTCATTTTTATCGGTACCAAGGATCGAACTCACGACGGCCTGCTTGCAAGGCAGGTGCTTATGCCGCTGAGCTAAATCCCCAGCCCCTATGGACAAATCTTTAACCCACCTTCCACAGTATACTTGTAGATGCTGGGCTGAATGTCTATGGTCCAACTCCCCTGGGCACTCTGTCGCACCTTCTCCTTCAGAGCCTCTGAGAAGTCTCTTGCCACTGTGTCCACCATGGGGAGGAACTTTTGCACTGCCTTTGGGGACAGCACATTTGGGTTCAGCCACCGTCGGTTGGAGAGCCATTCAGGCCCATTCTTGCAGGGTAGAGCAGAGCTAAAGTCAAACCCAGCCCCACATTTGTAGTCCCCACAGAGGAACTGTGGGTCACTGGGAGATGAATGTGTCCATAGAGACAGTCTGCCACAGGTGTTTGTTGCGTTCTCTTAGAGTCACCTTCATGTTCTGATATCATAACCATTGAAGTCTAAATGGTGACAAGACAGTGAAATCTGCTGGTTAGCGCTGTTTCAGAGAGGCATTTTCTTTCATCTGAACTCCCAGGACCCTAATTCTGCTCTCACAGTGTTCCTGCCAACTTTACCTAGGTAGGAAGTCTTTATCTCCATGACAGGAGGTTGACCCTACTGTCAAGTTATGCCCACCTGACCCACACTATGTTCCAAGGGGAAGAGAGGGTGAACTTCTGCCTCCCTGCCCTTGTCTATGAGGCAGGCTGCCTCTCAGTCTATAGCTTCTGCCTATCACAAAGAAGGTCCCCATCATATATCAGTAGGTATTCAACAGTTGCACTCATTCCCTCAGTCCCTGGACTTCGGATCTGGCTGGATCTTCTGCTGCCTGTGCTCCCTTGGCTCCCAGATCCCAGAGGGCAGAGAACCTTCAACTGCCCCTCTGAACCCTGTATCTTGGAGGGTGGCAGATCTTTAGCTGCCACTCCCCCTTGACATTGTGAACCTAGACTGCTGTGGATTTTCAGCTGGTCCTTGTCTTCTCAGGACCTTTTACTGCAGTGGGTGAACCTTGCAGGTTTGATGGGAGATTCAGTAGCCCTTCATCAAACAGAGGCCCCCAGTAGGCTTCCATCAGTGGGGCGAGTTTGTCCCTAAAAATATAGGACTTCAGTGCGTATACCAAAGCATTGGCAAAGTCCCCTAAAGGTGCAAAATCTTTATTAGCATGGCAAAAGCTTGAGTGAATCCTTCCTCCATACAGGGAACATCATGTCAGTTGAGGAGAGTGCCAATGAGGCCTCCTCCATTCTAGAGAAAATTAAAAGGACTAATGAGACACCCAGTGACACAGTAGGGTCCCAGCTGTGGCAAGCACTATAGTCAGGTAGGTCTGGTGGTCTGGAACAATCTGAAGACATAGTAATAGCAAGAGCTAAAGGTTGTGTTACATCAATACCCTAGACTAATCAGTCCAGGAAGAATATAGGATTCACCCAATAGGTCCCACATGAGAAATGGCCCTTCTCAATCTGGTGGCCCTTCCCACATGACTGGCCCTTCTCAATCTGGTGGTCTGGAACAACCTGAAGACATAGTAACAGCAGGAACTAAGGGTTGTTGTACATCAATACTCCTAGGATAGTCATCCCAGGAAGAAAATAGGATTCACCCAACAGGTCCTTCAGGATAAATTCAGGTGACTGGCCCTCCCCTTCATTGTGGTACCCAGCAATTGGACAAGCATCAAACACACAGTACGATCCTAAGATATACACCACTGACTGCTGAGACTAGTGGGAGTGGAAGGCCAAATATTAGCCCAAAAGATGAAAACGACAAAATTAAAAAGCAAAATGCAACCTCAAACATCTAGTCCATCAGAAGCAAGTACAGGAGACACTAAAATAGAAGGCATTATAAGTCATACACCGAAAATATCTGAAATGATAGCAAGTGAAATAAAAAAACGAATCCATGAGGCTATAGCAGAAATCAGATTAGAAATAATCTCTCACATAAAGACAGAAATGACAACAAGATAAAGGAGTTTCTCACCATAGCTATAGAAGAAATAGATTTTAAAAAGTACAGGAGCACAGGAAAATGACAGACAACTTGAATGAACAATATAAGAAAGGGAAGTAAAATGCATGAAATAAATTCACAGAGATATCAAAGAAATAAAAGATTCTATTGAGAGCTGGCAAAACTATATAAATGAAGCTGAGGATAGAATTTCAGACCTTGACAACAAGATAACAGCTAGTGATCATGAAATGACAAAACTTTTAAAAATAATAAGGCAGCATGAAATGACAATTCAACAGCTTCAAGATGATGCAAAGAGAAACAATATAATACTAATAGGCATCAAAGAAAATGCAGGAGTCAACATGAATGACATTGGTAAACTATTTACAGAAGTAATAGCAGAAAATTTTGCCAGCATGGTGAAAGAATCTGATATACAGATAACTGAGGCATGTAGAACACCAAACAGTCATAATCAAAATAAATGTACGCCCAGACATATAATAATTAAGATCCCAGACATACAGCATATAAACAGAATACGAAAAGCTGTTAGAGTAAAGACAAAATTCTCCTATTAAGGAAAGCCTATTAGAATCACTGCAGACTTTTCACCCCAGCTTCTCAAGTTCCAATGAACTTGGGGTGAAGTATTTCAAGCCAGGAAAGAAAATAACTTTCAACCTAAATTGATGTACACTGAAAAACTTGCTTTAAAATTTAATGAAGAAATAAGATACTTTCATGATAAAGAACAACTGAAAAAATTCCTGTGCACCAAGCCAACCCCAGAAGGAGTACTGAAGGACATACTAGACAGAGATAAAAATGACTGCAATTTCCAGAACAACAACAGAAAGAAACCACCAGACAGAGAAAGCAATTAAACAAGGAGTAAAAGCAGAAAACAAACAGCAGAAAAAATACATGACAGAGTTGAGCCAGGACATATCAGTTATGTCCATCAATGTAAATGGCCTCAATTCACTGATTAAAAGAAATAGATTGACAGAATGGATAAAGAAGCAGGACCAACAATATGCTGAAACAATATTCAAGAAACAACATTCAACAAACATATCTGAATCAACAGGAAACTCATATAGATTAAAAGCCAAAGGATGGAAAACCATATTCCATGTGACAGGAACCTGGAAATAAGCAGGGGCAGCTATTTTATTTGCAGACAATGTGAACTTCAAACCAAGAATGACGAAAAGAGATAAAGAAACTTGTCAGGGGAATAATTCAAGAAGAACAGCTAACAATCATAAATATATATGCAATATTGGAGCATCCTACTATAGATGACAAATACTAACAGATATGAAAAGCCACATAAGCAACAACACAATTGTAATACCTCATTGTCACAAAGAGATAGACCATCTAGACAAAATGTCAGCAAAGAAATAACAGAACTGAATCAAACCTGTGAGCAAATAAATTTGGTCTATGTTTACAGAGTGTTCCATCCAACCACATCAGAGTACACATTCTTTTTAGTTACACATGGGACATTCTCCAAAATAGACCATCTATTGGCCCATAGAACATTCTTAAGTAAATGTAAAGAGATTGAAATTATCCCATGCATATTATCAGACCATAGTGCACTTAAGTTGGAAATTAATGATGAAAGAATTTGCAAAACCTGCGTATAAACATGGAAATTAAATAACAACCTCCTGAACAATCAATAGGTTACAGTTGAAATTAAAGAAAAAAATTAAGCAATACATACATTCAATGAAATTGCAGATACAACATATCGACACCTGCAGGATGCAATGAAAGCAATCCTAAGAGGGAAATATATAGCCATACATTGTCACATCAAGAAAACAGAATGAGAAACTCAGCTGGCGTCTGGGGTGAGTCTACATGCCATTCCGTGCCTCAGAGACTACATTAAGATCATTGCTCCCAGAGCTCAAGGACCCTCCCAGAGCCCAGTCACACTAGGCTGTGCTCTCTTGGCAGGTTTCAGAAATGAAATGCCCAGCAACCTTCTCTGGAACCAGGAAACCCAGCTGGCGGCTGTGGTGAGTCATACACCATTCTGAACTCTGGGAGACTTATTAAGATCATTGCCCCCAGAGCTCAAAGACCCAACCAGACCCCAACCAGACTAGACTAGCCTTGGGAGGGTTTGCAGCCTGAGTAGATTATGCGCAGCGATCTTCTTCAATTACGGGAGTTGAGAGCAAGTGAAGTGAGTTCCAGGGCATTGGTCTTTGCTCGGGGAGAGCTTTAGCCCATCTTCCACAATGGTTGGGTGCCTGCCCAGCTACCTGAAACACTGAAGGTGGCAGGGGAAGGCCTGAGGGCCTGACTGGACCATGCTCAGCAACCTCCATTCAGTCACCAGAGCCTAGGGCATAGGAGACGATTTCGAACACATCCAGGGGAAGCCTTAGAAAAACACGTGAAACACAGAAATATAGGAAAATGACAAAACAAAAGACCCAAATGCAATCTCAAACCTCCAGCCCATCCCAAGAAAGCCTAGGAGCCACGTACATAGAAGAAAATACATGCCATACACCTGAAATATCTGTAATAATAGCAACTGAAATAAAAAAGCAACTCCAAGAAGCTTTAAAGGAATTCAAACTAGAAATAATCTCCCAGGTAAAAGAAGATATGATAAAAGTAACAAAAAAGATGCTGAACACATATAAAGAAGACACAGTTAAAAAATTAGAGGAACAGAACAAAAAGACAGAATCCCTGGATGAACAGTTTAAGAAACAATCAGAACACATGAAGCAGATTCAAAGAGATATGCAAGAAATCAAATATTCCCTCGAAAGTTGTCAAAACCGACTCAACAAAAGTGAAGATAAAGGATTTCAGATCTCAAAGACAAGATTGCAGCTAATGAACAGGAAAGGAAATATCTTTTAAATATACCAAGGAATCAGGAAATAACAATTCAACAGCTGCAAGATGATGCAAAGAAAAACAACATAACATTAATAGGGATAAATGAAAAAGAAGAGAACAACACAAATGATATCAAAAGGCTATTCACAGATGTCATACTGGAAAATTTCCCAAACATGAGAATGTAAACTGACATTAGGATAAGTGAAGCATATAGAACTCCAAATAGCCATAACTAAAAAGTACACCCACATTTAATAATCACCATCCCAGAAATCCAACATAAGAATAGAATACTCAAAGCTGTCACAGAGAAAAGACAGATCACCTATAAAGGAAAGTCTATCAGAATCACAGCAGACTTCTCAACACAAACAATGAAGTCAAGAAGAGACTGGAGTGAAGTATTTCAGATTCTAAAGGAGAATCATTTTCAACCTAGACTGATGTACCCTGAAAAACTGTCTTTCAAAATGGATGGAGAACTAAGATACTTCCATGACAAAGAAAAGTTGAAGAATTACATGAACACCAAGGCAACCCTGCAAAGAATACTGAAAGACAGTCTAGATACACATAGGAAAAAAACCACTAAGCAAGGTAGACAACTAAACACAATGGAAAGATAAAGATGCAACAGCAGAAAGATAACATGTCAACAATAAGCCAATATATAACAGTTATAACCATTAATGTAAATGGTCTCAATTCAACAAATAAATAAAAAAGACTGGCAGAATGGATCAAGAAACAACATCCAACCTTATGCTGTCTGCAAGAAATCCATTTAACCCAAAAGGAAACTCACATACTGAAAGTCAAAGGATGGAAAACAATACTTCATGCAACAGGAACTGAAAAAAAAAGTGCACATTGTCTGTTTGCAGACAATGTGAACTTCAAACCAAGAATGATCCTAAGAGATAAAGAAGGTCACTACATACTGGTTAGGGGAAAACTTAAAGAGGAAGAGATAACTA